ATATATATTTATATCTATATATATAAAGACATATATATATGCCTATCTGTCATTGGGAGACGATAAGGCTAGGTCTCGATTACCAACGAGTGGTACGCAAAATGTTCATATTTACGACCCGTGTGATATAACTAATGACGGTTTTGTTGAGAGAAATCTCTGATAGGTTCAGCGCAAGCGATTCTACAATACAGTACTTACTGTAGTAGAGTGTAAGGCGAACATTGCACAATTGACTTCTCTCACGTGTTATAACACTGTTAGAGGACACTGTCGCCATTGAACTGGTGTATACTGTGCCTGTGCATTAGACGCAGATTCATTTTATACACACGAATACGTCTATCAAGTAACGGTGTGGTATACTCAAGTCCATACTATGATATACTCATGAATGCACCATGTTATACTCATGCGCGTACTATAGAATACTCGTGTATGTACTATGGGATACTCGTGTATATATTATGGTAACTTATGTATATACAATGGTATTCTCATGTATATACTATGGTATACATATGTATACACCCTGGTATATTAGCGCGTACGTATATTCAGATGTACATAGCGTCAATCACACAATACGTATTACGTAGATATGAGTTTATCATATTTTTGATGACTTGTATCAGCAAACCTCAGCGTTGGAACGTATATGAAATAAACGGCAGACGTTTGCTTATAGATGGTCCTGTATGTTTGGTAAGTGTGCAATATTGGGCTTTTAAGGTGCAATATGTAAGTACTAATACCTCATATAGTTCGATTACTTCCCTAAGTAGGTTAGACCTTTTCTTACCCACCTAAACGCTATATGTAACGTAAAAATCAAAAGTTATATGTTTACGCTAAACGTATAGGCTGAATCACCAGAATGTATTTATTTTTAGCGAGGTTTGGATCATCAGTTCATCACGTCTATGACGTCACAAATTTCTTGATTTTCTAGAAATATATTGTATTTATTCGCATGTAGTTTAGAATACATTCTATTCCTTACATCATAGAATACACAAGCAGACGCAGGTATCATCCTTTTCTTAAATTCTTGCCTGAATAAGTACTGAACGGCTAGTTGTATGTATATAGGAGTGTCTTACAGTAGTTGCTTGCTAATATATATATATAACCCTAGAAATTCTGCTAGAAGTATAGCAAATACTCCCGATGAGTTCATCAGGAGACCTTCTCCCGCCAGAGATCCTATTACGTGTCTTCCAATGGCTACCGCAAGTGGATCTATTACAGATGTCTCTTGTGTGCCAGCAGTGGCACATCGTTGCCATGGATAGCACACTCTGGACACACATCACCTGGGAAACCGAACTCGCATGCAGGTGGATGATGGTCACGCTCCCACACTACCAAGCCTTACTGAAACGTCCGCAGTTCTGTGCAATGCGTAAGCTCAAACCCCCATCCCGAAAGGGTACATGTATAACATTGAATATAGTGAGGGACTTATCAGAGAGCTGTCCGCACATACAGACACTCGATTTGTCATGCTGGGATGCATATGCGACTGAGTTACATCACTTTGCGGATATTCGCAGTTTACGAGGTGTATGGTTCGGTAGTATCAAATCAGAATCACATGCGCATCTCAAACTGTGTGAGGCTATGGGCACCAGCATGATCGATTTGCGGGTGAGGTCCATTAGCTGGCATGATACAGACGCTCTATTAAAGCTCTTACAAAAGGTCTCGACCAGTTGTGTCAATGTAAAAATCTTGTATGCACACGTCCCACTATACAATGGATTGTGCGGCCAAGTTGTAGCGGTGCTGAAGCGGTTCACACACTTACAAGTACTTAGTCTGTGCTGGCGTGAAGGTACAGACAGCACCCACTGGCAAGACATATATGAGGAAATAGTGCAGGGGTGTGAAAATAACGCCTTCCGTGAATTGCGCACCATTGTGTTCACACAGCGTGATTATGCGAGACTGCGTAAACCGCTCAAACGCAAGTTGCGCAAGTTGGGACTGTTGGAAGTTCGGAACGACCCTGGCACGTACCCGCACTTGTTCCCTGATGCCGTGTTGGACTATTCTCAGTTGAGTTCCAATTAGTACCGTCACACTATTACAGATCGTCGCACGATCACAGACCATCGCATTATTACAGTTCGTTGTATATGTGTTTTACACTCGTACTGAGGACTTTACACAGACATACCGCCGAATACTCTCAATATGTACAATATATAAAGGGAAAGTATGTCGGTAGTTCGATCCCTTGTTTCCTGATGTGGTGTTGGGCTATTCTCGGTTAAGTACTTATTATTATCATCGTACAACTACACTTGACAGACCATCGCACTATCAATGATCATGGTATACGTGTTTGACCAAGACCTTCACATAGCAATACCACCACACACTCTCAACATATACATCATTAAAATGATAAAGTATATTGGTACATAGGTCGATATCTTGTTTTCTGATATGGTGTTTGGACTATTCTCAGTGGAGGTACTAGTTAGCAACGTTAACCTGCTACATGTCATTGCACATCTGTCTTAATAGCGTGTGCACAGTGTCACTCTGCTGGACTCACTTACGATACGAAACGTCATGTATATCATACAGCAGTAAATACCACCATAAACCACGCAGCGTCCTATTGCACACGCAGCTCACACCACTATAGAACTCACTATTGAGCGATACAATATGTGTCATATCACACAGCACTACCAGTAACTAGCACTATGCTGTGAACGAACAACCGCCCACAATACCATAAACTCGCCTTTCCGTACACCTAAATTGTGTTGTATGTATATGTATATGCATCTGTATGTATTTGTATATGTATATGGATATGAATATATATATATATATATATATATATATATATATATATATATATATATATATATANACTAGTNTATATATATATATATATATACGTATATATAGTAGTAGTAGT